AAGAAAAGAAAAGAAAAGAAAAGAAAAGAAAAGAAAAGAAAAGAAAAAAAGGAGAGGAGAGGAGAGGAGAGGAGAGGAGAGGAGAGGAGAGGAGAGGAGAGGAGAGAGCAAGCAGGCTTATGAGGACACTCAGTACCCCTGTAAAATCCCCAGAAAATGAGGTGCCATTCGAAGCTGTTCCATCCTTCTTGGGAATCCCCAGTTCCTGGGACTCCGGTGAAAGAAGCAGCTCTGCCATGCCTCCTGCAAAATCATCCTGACAGAGCATCCAGAGTGGCTGCTGGGGAAGAGGCATGGCAGAGACAGCCCCCTCCGTGCTGCAGTATCCTCCCACGTATCCCTGGAGGACATCAGAGCTTGCAGCAGCCCGATTGTCTGCATAGTAATCCTGTGAACAGATCATTCAGGCATTTTCTTCCCTCTAAGGCCCCTCCTGCAGCTTTTTCATTGGGAAGGGATGATCTAAGCCCATGTGATTTGTGATTCAATATTTTTACCCTAATAGCAAATGTAGTGCACTTCCCAAGTGGAAAAAGAAAAAAGAAAAAAGAAAAAAAAAGTTTTGCATAACTGCCACTGTTGAGAAGTTACTTAATAGTTCATACAAAGTATATCTGTGTGTCCAAATTCAGGTTTCTCCTTTAAGTAACTCACCGACTAGCCTTCCATGCAGGCTTTTTGCTTATTTAAGGGCTGATAGCACTGCCCTCACTACTGGGGGAGGAGAAGAGAAAGCAGAAATATGAGGTCATGTTCTAGTCACATGGTTGCTGCAGCATCTGTCAACTGTGATACAATTACTAACCCACAACAGTATATTTATGACATTCAAACCTGCTCAGTATAGAATCTCCTCCTCTGGTGCCTGAGCTTTTTTGGTACTTAGAGATTGTCTTGAAAGCTGTCTGCACAAACGAGCATCATGAATCACAAAACATACATTCTGGCAGTTTATTATATTGAAAATCACATTTGGAGATTTTGGTTAATTAAATCCTTTCTCTGTAGAAAGACTTCAGAGCAGCCTCTCTGGTAGAAATGCTTGGAGTGGTGGATTTAACCACACTGCTTCTGGAGAGCTTGCTGATCTGAGCAGGACTGAACACTGCAATCTGAGACTCTTAGTCCAATCTGTGGCTGCATGATTTTCACCTCGGCTGCAACGTGGCTTCCAAGGTGAATATCACTGTATAGAGTAGTTTTTGTTTTTCTTTTATTTTTTTCTTTCCAGTTATTTTACAATGACAAGAACAGCCAGATCTGCTGCAGGTGATGTCAAGATACAGAAGGACATCAGTATTTTCTACCACTTTGCAGACACTGCTCTGCAGAGTGTTTCTTCTGCTAGAACTTCATGGCAAAGTTTAGTGGTTTCCTGAGCTGGAATATGCATTTGGACCAGCATATTTAATAGCCATGGATGGAACCACCCTAGGCAAATCTTTCCAATCTTATTAAGCCTGTTTATGCATTTTTTTTCTGCCACAGCTTTTGCTGATGGCTATGAGCTTCACAACAGTAGGATGCACTGTGTTTAAGCAGTTGTTTTCTGTTTATTTAATACATGCTGCCTGATTATTTCTTTACATTTGAGTTCACATTTATCTCATATATTAGGCACCATACAACTAGCAGTCACATTTGAAGAATGATATGCTAATGCACACATTTACTGTCTCCTTACTCAGCAAGGAGTTAGGGAGAAAAGTAACTGAGCTGTTGAGCTGATGACAGTTTTTGCTGCCAGCATTTAGACTGTCTCTGACGTTAGTATTGGTGATGTGAGAGACGAGCTGTGGTCTGTAACCATACCACAATATCAATGACTTACTGCCAGTGGATTGAAGAAGGCCTGTAAAAGGGAATATAGAATCTCTAAGGCTCTTCTAAATTCAAATGGTGAACAAAGAAGGAAAGAAAGTCACCACAATCTCTTCTGAAAGCTCTGAGTCCCTTCTGCTTCTGCGGCCCCAGTGAAGACAAATTAAAGGAGCTCAGCTCTAAGCTCCTTCCCATGTTCTCTACTTGGAAGGAAGATGCTTACACAGGTGGTAGTGAGCTGAGTGTTAGAGCAGACGATAAGTCACAAGTAGGTGAACATACTAAAGTGCCTGGAGGATATTTTGGGTGGTAATAGTTCAGGATGGAAACTAATCGCTGAGAAATTTGGGATCCTAGAGTAATTGTTACAGAGCCTATAGAAATTGGAAGGGGCTAATTGATTAAATTAATATGTAAAGGAGAGGTTTCTGTGAATGCTACCAAGGGAGGAGTTGAACAGGCCTTGAATACAATTTGCTAGCAAAATCCTTAGTGACTAGCACAGTTCTCATACAGGTATCAACTACAGCAAGAACGAGAGCATCCTTTACATAGCCAATTTGACTCTAATAAAGCCTTATCCAGTGTTTGACTATTTTAATTAGAACACATAGTATAAATGTGTTTGCAAGAAACAGAGTACAGGAATTAAATCACACCCCTTGGCAGAAAATGGAATTGTGTGTATGCAGGCATTTAGTACACTAGAGAATTCAGGAGAAAATGACAGCAGAAAACCAGGAGGAGTTTCATATTCATAGCTATGTATACTGTCTGTGGCATGAGAAATGAAGCATGCAAGCTGAAGTCAGTATCTAATGAATTAAGAAATGGTGTCAAGCCCATCTTCTCGCTCTGGACTGTGAGTGCAATTCAGGCTGCAAGCCGCAAGTACTCACTGCATTGGTTGTACAGTTTGGTGTGTGCCCTTCTGTGCTCTGTTCTTCTATGTTGCTTCTAACTTTTCTCTTGATTCCTGCATCCCTGCAGCAGCTATCTTTTATTCAGATTAAAATCTCCATGAAGAAGGGAACACGTTACTATAGACCATAATACAATAGGGCCTCCAACTACAGCGAAGTCAAAAGGAGTTGTTGTGTTATTACAAATGCATTTGTTTGTGTATGTCTCCTTTTACATTTATAAATCAGCTGTGCAACAAGAGAGGTTTCCAGATGCAAGAAATTCTGAGGGCTTCCTTAACAGAAAAAGCATTTAATGTTTGAAAAAGCATAGTAACAAGCTGGCACTGCGTCTAAGCCTTTCATAACAGTTTAATTCACACCCTCTCTCCAAATGTAAATTAATCCAGATTGGGAAATGTTGAAAATCTGAAGCAATATATGTAATTTGGTACTAGCCTAGGGGTGGGGAAGGAAGACTTATAGGAAATATCCTGCTCAGACCTTCATGTGTGCAGTAAGCCAGTTTTTTTCAAGCCTTCCTGTCTTCAGGCTGTCCTTGCTGCAAACCCCAAACTGAAATTTGAACCCCCAGATTCCATCCTCAGATCTGCTTAGAATTCTTCTAGTGATTGAAGCTTTACAGTTCCTCTTTCTACTTTTTCTTCACGATCAGGAGGGAAAAAGAAAAAAAAAAAAAGGAATCAAAGTAAAATGGGACATACAGACAGAGTCAGGTTTGGAAATGCTTTGTTCAATTTGCACTGATATTCTCTAGCACAGTTTCAATTTTTTGAACAAAGTTTTCTCAGTAATGGTGGCTCTTTAAAAACAAGACCACATCCCATTAAAATGTTCTAAGCATACCCTAGCAGAGCACAAAGGATGGCATCCCGCAGGCAGTCAGACAGGTGGCAGGGCGCTTACATAAAAGCTGTCATTAGCACTAGCACTGCCTTTTCTGGTTCCTTTAGTGCCTCTTGCACTTAACTCTTTTCTGACCTCTTTTGAAAGTATGTGTGGATCATACCCTAGCCTGGGACTTATGTGGGAGGCAAGTACATATTTGTACATGAGATCGAAGGGATTTTTGCTACTATAGATCACCAACTAAAGAATGCACAATGTGGCAAACACGACGGATTCACTGTGGCTACAAAATAAGCACATTATTGCTAGTACCAATAATTT